TCTTCTTCATCACCCCGGTCTCCCTTGGGGCTGCCACCGTCGCCCGCCTCGGCCCCCCCACCTACTGCGACCTTACCGGGGGCTGGCGGTCCACGTGTGTGTCAGCTTTGTGGCCGCGATGGGCACTGGGCCTCCAAGTGTCATAAGCGCTTCCAGCGAAGCTTCCTTGGTCTTGGCAATGACGGCAAAGATACACGCAACAATGCCCGTCAGGTCGCCATGGCTGATCGTCCCGCGCCGCCGAAGACCAGGGACACACTCAGTCCTACTCCATCGATCCACACTGGTACATGGACTCTGGGGCGAAAGAGCACCTGACCAGCGAGATGGGGAAGCTTCACACTCGTGAACCCTATCATGGCTCCGACAAGATCCACACCGCCAATGGAGCAGGTATGCACATCTCTCATATTGGTCAAGCATCTCTTCTCACTAGACATGCCAATAGGAGTCTTCAGCTTCGCAATGTTCTTCGCGTTCCATCTGTGACCCGCAATCTTCTTTCAGTTCCTAAACTCACACGTGATAATAATGTGCTTTGTGAATTTCACCCTTTTGATCTTTTTATTAAGGATCGGGGCACGAGGGACATTCTTCTTAGTGGGCGGTTGTGCCAGGGCCTCTACCGTCTGGAGCATCCTGGCGTCGCTCGCATTTTCAGTGGAGTTCGGGTCTCTCCGTCACAGTGGCATGCTCGTCTTGGTCACCCGGCCACACCTATTGTCCGTCATATTTTGCGTCGTCATGAGCTTCCTAGTTTGTCTAGTAATAAAGATGTAGCAGTGTGTGATGCTTGTCAGCAGAGGAAGAGTCATCAACTTCCTTTTTCGGAGTCCAGTCGTGAGGTGAAACATCCGTTAGAACTTGTGTTTTCAGATGTATGGGGTCCTGCTCAGACTTCTGTCAGTGGTCATAATTACTATATCAGTTTCGTTGATGCTTATAGTCGCTTTACCTGGCTTTACCTTATTAAACGCAAATCTGATGTGTTTAATATTTTTGTTTAGTTTCAAAAACATGTTGAACGTCTTCTCAAGCACAAAATTGTTCATGTCCAGTCGGACTGGGGGGGCGAGTATCGCAACCTCAACTCCTTCTTTCAGTCGCTTGGGATAGCTCATCGTTTAGCATGTCCACATACACATCAACAGAATGGTTCAGTCGAACGTAAGCATCGTCATATTGTTGAAGCTGGTCTTACTCTTTTGGCCCATGCATCTGTTCCGTTTCGGTTTTGGAGTGATGCTTTCACCACTGCATGCTTTCTCATCAATCGTACTCCTACTCGTGTTTTAAACATGAAGACTCCCATTGAGGTTCTCCTTAATGAACAACCTGATTATACCTTTCTCAAGGTATTTGAGTGTGCTTGCTGGCCGCATCTTCGTCCATATAACAAGCGCAAGCTTGAGTTTCGTTCTAAGAAGTGTGTTTTCCTTGGCTATAGCTCTCTTCATAAAGGTTACAAATGTCTTCATGTTCCCACTAATCGTTTCTATATATCTCGGGACGTCGTGTTTGATGAGCATGTTTTTTCCTTTGCCAACCTTCCTGTGTCCACTGTCGAACCACCATCCCTGCATTCATCCTCTGTTACTTCTGACCAATTTGATGATGTTGCATACTCTCCTTTGCTGTTACCTAACCATGGTGCAGGAACCAGACGTGGAGCTCGTTTGGAGCTGTTGGAGGATTCACCATCATCATCGTCGTCTTCTGGTGGGCATGTCGATCGCCCTCTGTTGCATGGCATCGATTCGCGTGCCCATGCATGGTCACCGACGAGCCCGTCGCGCCGAGCATCTCCACTGCTCGGTCTGCTACGCCAGTGATCGCCGAGTCTCCAGCGGCTCGGCCTTTTTCGCCAGCGGCCGCCGAGTCGCCCGTGGCTCGGCCCGTCACACCGTCTTCGCCCGCGGCTCGGGTCCTCACGTCGCCTTCATCAGCGGATCGGCCCGCAACACCGGCCGCGCCACGACCCACTATGCCGAGCTCGCCATCGGCCCGGTCTGGGATGCCGGAGTCGCCAGCTGCTTCGTCTGCTCTGCCGGTTTCGCCGGTGGGCCGGCCTTCTTCGCCGACTGAGTCCGAGGCTACCGTGCCTGGCTCCTTGTCACCGGCTGACTCGTCAACGTCGTCGTCCTCCAGCCCGTTGCAGGCTGCTCCGTTGACCTCGGTGGTTCCTGTGTCTCGACCACATACACGCAGTCGCAGTGGCATTTTCAAACCTAAGGAACGTACGGATGGTACGGTTGCTTGGTTGGCTGCTTGTTTGGCTGCTGCTGTTGCGGATCCATCTTCTGAGCCTCGCTCATATCAGGCTGCCCTGCGCATTCCACATTGGCGAGAGGCTATGGAGCAGGAGTTTCATGCTCTTCTTCGTAACAAGACATGGACTCTCGTTCCTCCACCACCACGGGTAAATGTTATTGACTCAAAATGGGTATTCAAAGTGAAGAAGCATTCGGATGGATCTATTGAGCGTTACAAAGCGCGACTTGTTGCTCGCGGTTTTCGGCAGCGTCATGGTCTTGACTATGAGGACACCTTCAGTCCTGTCGTCAAGCCTACCACTATTCGGCTTCTTCTCTCCATTGCTGTTTCTCGTGGTTGGTCCCTTCGTCAACTTGATGTGCAGAATGCTTTTCTACATGGATTTTTGGAGGAAGAGGTTTATATGAAACAGCCGCCTGGTTTCTCTGATCCTGATCGTCCTGACTATATTTGTCGTCTTTCCAAAGCACTATATGGTTTGAAGCAAGCTCCTCGTGCCTGGCATGCCCGCCTTGCCTCTGCCCTTCGTGCTCATGGGTTTGTGCCGTCCACTGCTGACACTTCATTATTTGTTCTACAGAAGCCAGAAGTCACTATGTATCTTTTGGTATATGTCGATGATATTATCCTTGTCAGCTCTTCTCAGTATGCTGCTGATGCTCTTGTCTGCTCTCTTGGTGCTGATTTTGCGGTCAAAGATCTTGGGAAGCTTCACTACTTTCTTGGAGTTGAGGTCACTTCTCGTGCTACTGGTCTTGTCCTTACGCAGAAGAAGTACTCCTTGGAGTTGTTACAAAAAGCCGGCATGCTGAAGTGCAAACCGACCACCACACCCATGTCGTCTACCGACAAGATAACAGTTGTTGATGGTGAGCTTTTGTCTCCTGCGGATGCCACAGAGTACAGAAGCATTGTTGGTGGACTTCAGTACTTGACGATCACGAGACCAGATATCTCTTATGCTGTTAAGAGGGTTTGTCAGTATCTTCAGGCTCCCAGAGATACTCATTGGGCTGCTGTTAAACGCATTCTTCGTTATGTTCGGTTCACCCTGACTTTTGGTATGCATATTCGGCCGACTTCCTCTCGGGTCCTTTCGACCTTCTCTGATGCAGATTGGGCTGATAGCCCAGATGACAGGCGATCCACGGGGGGTTATGCAGTATTCTTTGGCTCTAATTTGATCGCCTGGAGTGCTCGGAAACAGGCTACTGTGTCACGTAGCAGTACTGAAGCTGAGTACAAGGCTGTGGCTAATGCTACTGCAGAGATTATTTGGGTGCAGTCTTTGCTTCAGGAGTTGGGTTTGTCTCAACCACAGCCTCCTATTCTTTGGTGTGATAACATTGGTGCTACATACCTTTCTGCAAATCCAGTATTTCATGCCCGAACGAAACACATTGAAGTTGATTATCACTTTGTACGGGAACGTGTATCACAAAAGCAACTTCAGATCAAGTTTATCTCGTCTAAGGATCAACTTGCAGATATCTTCACTAAGCCTTTACCACTGCCACAGTTTGAGGCTTGTAGGCGCAATCTTACCCTTCTCAGTTCTTTAGAAAGTGGCTAAGATTGAGGGAGGGTGTTAGACTATGTATAACTTCTGTACCTATGTACGTATTGTAACACAACCATTATATATAATGAGATAAGCCACCCCTAGAGGGTTGTGCTGGTTCCCAAAACTTATTGTCTTACACTGGGTATCAGGAAATTGCAGCCTTGAAAGCTCTTGAAATCAGGAATGGCTAGAAATCAGTCAGCTGACGTTGAGAAATCAAAGGCCCATGATGCTTCTTCAACCTCCGTCTCCTCTTGAGCCGCCGGCCACCACCGACCGAACCGTCGGCCCCTGCCGCCCACGGCCGGCGGCGCTCCCGCGCTGCCTCGCCGCCCAGCCCTCTCCGGAACCACTCCCACCGCCGGTTCTCCGTCGCCCCGGCCATCCCTCTAGGCCCGCCGTGCTGAGCTTTTTCTCTGGCGAATCTCCATGCCACTGGCCATCACTGCCCTCACCCTGAACCATAAGATAGATATTGACGTAGCCTCTCCGGCGAGCCCCCTCCGCTGCGGCTGGTTCTTCCTTCCCTCCGGCGAGGCCCCCCTGAAAATCGACTGACCCAAAGTCGGATCCGTTGACTGAAGTCTAGCTAAACTGCTTCAAATCGCCATCAATCTGGGAATGGCCAATGTGATTTTAGAAACTGATAACTTTAAAAAGAAGTCGGGAAGCTGGGTGCTATGGCATGTCGCCCCAGTGTGTACTCATCGAGGATCGTAAGTTCTTACGAGTCAGTTTCTGAGTTTAGAAATCCCGTATTGTCCTAGGATGACAGGCAATCCTAGTCTGCAGTGTAACGCGCTATGCCTATTGTAATGTCATAGTGGAGAGCAATTTAGCTTGCAAGGTTTTGCATTTCCACAAAAAATCTTCTCCAACACGTTTTCTTTTCCAAGTAGCACGGAACTACAGAAAAGCACATCCTTCAGAGTTCAGACTAAAACCATGGAGACAAAAGAGAGTAGGAATTCGTAGGGCATGAGTTCTGCTAAGTGATCCAACATGATTATTATACACATTTTAAAGTAGGCAAAGGTTTACAATGTACACTACAATTTCCACCGCCAAGAATTTACATCATGTGGTGAATCCTTAAGTAAATGCAGATACTGACCTCATAAAGCTTCCAAGCAACAGTTTCTATGAGCGATGGTTGCACTACTTAGAATGCAATGTCATGCTGGATGTGTCGGAGCAATACGGGGGTGACAATGTCCGGTGAGCTAAGCTGGGGGAGATGGCCCTCAGATGGCATCACCTCAACGATGGAGTCGCCACCAAGATGCTTGTGCAAGTACTCTGACACCACAACTGGCACTGCGAGGTCCTTGGTGCTCTGAACGATATGGCATGGGACCAAGACAAGCGGTAGGAGGGTGCGCACATCACTCTGGAAGATCGTCTGGACAACACTCAGGGCTATGTCTGGGCGAATGTTGAAGAGAGTTCGGCTGAACTCCTGAACTGACACTGATTCCAGGTCCCCTCCAACACAGAGTGGTGCAAAACCTGAGCACCAGGCCTTATAGTTTGATCTCATCGCTTCAAAGAGCTCATCAAGCTCCTCCTGCTCAAATCCCCCATAGTAATCCACATCATTGAGGTACCTGTTTGGTCAATACAAAATTGGATATGTGAAACAGAAATCATAAAATGAAAACAGAGCAACCAGAAACGAATTAGTAGAGAAGGTCTGAAAGGAAGGATGTAAACCCTTGAAACATCAGAACTGGATAGGATGTCCAGAGATACTCAACATACCAAACAAATAGCATGTACTTGTGAGATACAATTGCATTTGCTACAGAATAACAACTGAGTGATTCATATAATGTCTGATCTATAATTTTAATCATCCTCGGTATGTGGGAGCACAAAAGAAACAATTAGGTTGTTAAGAAGTTGGGGTCGTCAGAAAGAGGACGAACAAGCCATGGACAGATGCTTGGAAAGGAACATCTCCCACTTAGCACCGTAATCTTCCAAACTAGCTCGGTATCCTATATCTTATATACATAAGAAGTTCATCCCCACTATCTTATTTATCTAAACATGCATCCTGTCCACATCACGATCTAGCCACATTAGCAACTCTCGGCATGCATGCGCTCTATTTTCAGTGTACACCAACAACCAACAAATGCTATTTTGCTGCCATCTTAACATTCCACGCCACCTCTATTTATTTCATGTCTCGTAGAAACATATGTGACTGATTGCATCCATCTAACTACCGCATTATTTGCTTGAAGTCCATATCTCTTCCCCTACCATTACGTTGTCTCTTCTCTCCTTAAGTACTCACTTTACCTTGGTCTTGCATCCTCCAGTTCACTTTCTCTTTCCCCACTCTTTTGCTAATTGGTTATTCCTTTGTTTCCCGACAGGCATGGAGAAGATATGGCTTCCTTGGTTTCTATTTCTTAAGCCTATCTGTTGCGTCCATTGGTAGGAGGTGTTTTGCATAGTTGTTGGCCGTTGTCTTCTGCTGCGCGGCTCGATTAACCCCGGCCTCTTAGCCTGTGCGGCCACCATTATCAACTGCGGCACCTTGTCCGCTTAATCGAAACAAAAGTACATATGGTAGTCATGATGTTAGGAGCTAGGGTTCTGCCGGTTCTAGGGCGGAGATTGTAGGGGAAAGATGGAGGAAGACGAGGTCGAGGGCGCGGCGGCCGGCGGCTAGGCGCCGTCCTTGCGTGGTGGAGAAGAGGCGGCGGTGGCGCAAGAGGCGGCTAGGGTTAGGTCTCCCGGATCCCTAAGGGAAGCCGAGCAAATACTGATTGCTTCTTGCTTGATTAGATTGATACATCTCCTCTCCTTATATAGAGAGGTTTACTTGACTCCTAAGCAAACGACCCTAATAACGATAAGATAATTGGGCTAAGCCCCTAATAACGATAAGATAACTTGGGCCACAGCCCACTGGGCTAAGCCCCTAATATGCCGGTCATGACACTTCTCCCTGCCTACACAAACAGCTCGTCCTCGAGCTGTAAGGTGAGGAAGCGCTTGCTGAACTCCTCGAGGTGATCAACCAGCGTCAAACACCTCCGCGACAGTTGGGGCGGCCAGGTCGCCGAGCCCGGCGGCGACGGCGTCCTCCTCAATGTAGTCTGCAGCCTCCAGATAGAAGAATCGGGGGCAGACGTGGCCGGGCATGTAGGTCTCGTCACAGTTGAAGCACAACCCTTGGCGGCGACGCTCGAGTAGCTCGGCCGAGGTGAGCCGGCGGAACGGGCGCGCCACGGTCGCGGCAAGGGGTGCCGCGGAAGCCTGAGCAGGCCGACCCTGCGCGGGAACATCCGGCTAAGGTGGCGGCCCAGCGGCCCGGGACGATGATGCCTGCTGGATGGCCACCGCGCGGCGCTCGTATGCGCGGGCGTAGTACATGGCCGTCTGGAGGTCCTGGGGTCCCTGCAGCTCGACGTCCACGCGGATATGATCTGGCAGACCGCCGACGAAGAGTTCGGCCCGCTGGTGAGCTGTCACGCTGGGCGCGTGGCACGCCAGGGCCTGAAAGCGGTCGGTGTAGTCCTGCACCGTTGTGGTGAAGGGAAGGCGGCCCAACTCCGCCAGCCGGCTCCCACGTATCGGTAGTCCGAATCGAAGGAGGCGGAACTCGCGAAAACGCTCCCATGGGGCATACCGCCCTCGTCCTGCTCGAGGGCATAGTACCACGTCTGTGCGGCGCCGCGGAGGTGATAAGAGGCGAGCCAGGTGCGGTCCGACGCGAGCATCCGTTGCCCCCGAAAGAACTGCTCGCACTGGTTGAGCCAGTTGAGGGGGTCCTCGGCGTCGTCGTAGGTGGCGAAGGCGAGCTTGGCGAAGCGCGGCGGTGTCTAAGCATGACCGCCGTGAGTGTACGGCTCGGCGGTATGAAGCAGCGAAGAGGATGGCGTTGGTCCGGTGTGCACAGGTGGTCCGCAGGAAAGCAGTGGCCCGTCGAAGCCAGCGTGGAAACCCGCGGAGTCAGAGGGCCCGTTGTACGGCAGGGAGGGCGCCGGCTGATCCGCGGCCATGGTGTAGACTGGCAGCGGTGACGTCCCGGCCAACCAGGCCGAAAGCTGGGATGGCGAGGGCGGGAACCGCACTTGCTGAATCGGCACGCCCGCCGGCGCAGTTGTAGTCAGCCCGGTGCTTGGCGGCGGAGGCGCCAGCTGCTGCTGCCTGGAAACGGCGGAGGCGACGGGCACGGCGATGGCCACGTCCGGCCATTATGGCCAGATCAAGGCAGTGGCGGGGGCTGGTTGTAGCTGCAGCAAGGGCTGCAACGGCCCGACCAGCGTCGCGGTGGCCCCGGGGTGCGGCGGCTGCCAGGGCGATGGCGGCGAGGACCTGGGTGGCATGGGTGACGCCGCGAGGGCCGGCGCCGGCCATTGGGGCGTGTAGGCGCGCGACCGCTGAATCGGCCAGTGGTGGTGTAGAGGCCCGGTCGGCGTCGCGGGTGCCAAATACCACGGCAGGGCGGCTGGCCCGGTCGCGGCAACCGGCGGCCCGTAGGGGCCGGCTAGGTATAGCCGTATCCCCTGGACGGCGGTGACGAGATCGTTGAGGACCCCGGTGATCTTCGCCGGGGAGTCGACGGCGGTCGGTGGTGCGGTGGAGGGCGCCGTCATCTGGGTGGTGGCGGCGTCGGAGGATGCGACCAGCAGCGCAGACGGGGAGGGCAGCGGCGCGGTGGAGAAGGCCAGCGGCGCGGTGGTGACGGTCGGCAGGGGAAGCGACGGGATGGGCGATGGCGAAGACATGATCGGAACTAAACAACCTGATACCAAGGTGTTAGGAGTTAGGGTTCTGCCGGTTCTAAGGCAGAGATTGTAGGGGAAAGATGGAGGAAGACGAGGTCGAGGGCGCGGCAGCCGGCGGCTGGGCGCCGTTCTTGCGTGGTGGAGAAGAGGCGGCGGTGGCACAAGTGACGGCTAGGGTTAGGTCTCCCGGCTCCCTAAGGGAAGCCGAGCAAATACTGATTGCTTCTTGCTTGATTAGATTGATACATCTCTTCTCCTTATATAGAGAGATTTACTTGACTCCTAAGCAAACGACCCTAATAACGATAAGATAATTGGGCTAAACCCCTAATAACGATAAGATAACTTGGGCCACATCGCACTGGGCTAAGCCCCTAATATGCCTGTAACACATGAATATGCATTCGTGCCGGCCACCTTGGCACTCCAGTTTCTCTCTCGATAAACCTTCATGCGCCAGCCACGCTGCTACGGTAAGGTGTTTGATATGTGTCCATCATATTTGTCCTTTTTATTTGTTTTCTTTTTCCCATACATTTTGCTAGTTTAGGCTTCAAACCATGTATAGTCAATAGGATGTCGGCTGTTTATTTCTTGTGAATTTTCCCGTGGAATAGAGCTTAGCTCCACCTACCTCCCCTCGTGGGAACAAGACCTCCATTGTGGAGATGGCTCCTTGTGGATAATAAGGCCTCCGGAGGGAGAAGACTCTGAGGAGTACAAAAGCCACCTCCGGGTGAAGATTCATCCATGGAATTCAAGTCCTCTTTGTCTTACGACTTGGGGAAGAACCCTATCCTGCTCCCTCTCTCTTGTGGATGATTGAGATCAAGGATTTATCCATGTGTGTCTTGTGTTGCCACTTGTGTGTTGATTTGTGCTTGTTTCCCCTGTGTTCTTCCGCTCTTCTCTCATGCTCTTCGTGTTCTTCCTCAAATTCACCTCCAATTCGTGAAGATAGGGCCACCCCTATGTTTTGCCCCGTATCATAATAGATTTTGCTTCAGCAGTACGAGCTCCAATATGTCACTTGCACAGAGATCTACCTCAAGTAGATACTGCGTACTAGAACATTTATTGTAACTGCTACCTCACCCAGGATAGTTTTGGTGGGAAACTTGGTGTCAAATCTTGGAGCTCACCAAGATTTGTATGTGGGCTGGTTTGTGGTGGTCTGGTGGATCTTTTTACTATGTAATCTTTCGACTTTTGTGTTTACTCCATGAAATCTCGAAAACTAACTATTAGCATCAATCCCGTCATACCAATAAATGGCCCAAACCAAGCCAGATCTACTCGCTCCTGTAGGCAGCATTAACCACTAGGTTTTAGAAACCCTCATAGAACATCTGTCCAAGATAAAACTCATATTCCATTCCAACAGATATCATGATACCATTTTCAGTCAAGCTGATTAAGATCAGTCTCACAATTACGGTGGGGGACGGGGGTACCACCTCGTTCAACCATTTACAAAAGGCAAGCACATACCTCGAAGAAGAAAAAATAACTAACCACATCCAACAGCAACCTATAATACCACCTTGCAGGTAGTTATGACTCTATTATCCTGGTTTCTTATCAAGTCACCTAATTAATCTAAGATCCAACGGTTCAACACTGAACACCCCTCTAGAATCCAAGTAAATTAGACCGTGGTTATTGACAGCATCTAGATCACCATCACTAATAATGTTTTTGGAATAAAACCATAAGAGCTAATCCTTTGAGGCAGGATCGCAAAATGTCTCCATCCTAATGAAGGTACATCAGATTAGTGACGTTGTAAGAAGGTATGAGGTGTGTAAAAAAGTTGTAGGCCTATGTCCCGAGCGAGTCGTTAATTTCTGCCTGTCGTCATGCCGCAATCTGCCCCCAAATCCTAAAAAATCCTTCGTGAGTAGAGCAAATCAATGTATTATCCCAAATCAATCAAAATGACTGCATACATGTAAATCAAACGACTAAAAACCGATGCTCCCAACATCAAATTCCCCAATCGATATGACTAGAAGGGTTGAGCGCTCTGCTGTGCCGTTGTTATTGTTGGGATTTCATAATTTTTGTTTGTTATTTTGTTTGGCGCGTCGGGAAGATATTTTTTTAGACAATCTCACAAAGCTTTTATTAAGTCGTCAATGTTTACAGGGACGAAAAAGATATTATCAGGCTGGCCTAATCAAACATGGCGGCCAACCCCTAAGATAAAGCATGCTTCACTAGATTGTGAGCTTCGACATTTGAGCTCCTAAACTCATTAACGAAATTACACAAGGTGAATGCAGCAGCCCGGTCTATTATTTCATGAATGATTGCACCATAGCCCATAGAGCTCCCCTGATTGAGATCTTCAACAACCACCAGACAGTCTGAAGCAACATGAATCCTTTGGGCATAGATCATCAGCAAGTGCCAAGGCCTCTCTGACTGCAGGTGCCTCAAGTGTTGTGGTATCAGAAATACCAATGAATATAATTACTGGCGCTCCCAAGTAAGATCCGCCTTGGTCTCTGCAAATTGTCTAGCTAAGGATTTAGGAGTTAAGGAATGTAATTTAGCTTGTAACAAGATGGGAATGATAAATATCTATCACCCATCTTGAGGGGGAGTGTTGGGTTGAGTGTGTGTAGTGTGTGCATGGGTTTAGCCCAAAGGCCCACCCTTGTGTATATACTCATACTTTTAGACTGTAGAAGGTAGTAAGAGAGAATTCCAGAATCTTCCCAAAGACAACAGATCCAATTCTTGGCATTTAAGTTTTAGTTATAGCACATGTGCTCAACCATTTCCTCCGTTGGGAGAGCCCATACACTTCTTGCCATAGAGCAGTCAAGCAACGCGTGTCACCATGTATCCTTCGCTCCCCATAAGGAACATACACACATCGTAGACACATTCCGATGGTGGAGGAGTTGTGCCGTCGGAATTGAGTGCCGTGCCAACCGCCATAAAAAGACCTTTAGTTTCGATGGCGCCCATATATTCCAAAGGGAAGTCCAGCCCCTATTCTCCTCAGCCCCATCAAACGTGCCTTCACCTTCCTCCAGCCAATTCTCCCTGCTCAGTTTTGTTTTGACAATCATTCTATAAGCATATCTGACTGTGAAGTTTCCACGACGTTCCTCGCTCCATGCCCAAAAATCCTCTGCATGGGGAAGATGGTGTATGTTTTCTTTTTTTTATAATACGGTACTTTGGTCAGCTTTCTTGGCAGCGTGATTCTATCTTTTTTGATAATCAACTCATACTTATATGGGGAAGTTTCTTGCGCCCGTGGCCGCATGTATAATATCGGTGCTACAGTGTCACTTGTTGGCGCTTCTCTTTTTCTAGGTAGTGAGAGGATGCACAGGACTGATCTGTTCTCTAGGCTGGTTTGCTGCCGCTTAATTTGAGAAATTATTGACCCATTCAAAATCGTGAATCAGATCCAAAATAGAATACTTTAACTGAGAGAGCTAGTTGAGAAGTTGTTGACCCAGTCAAAATCGTGAACCAATCGAAAACTGAACATCTCCATTGAATTGGAGGACTCCAAAATTAAGGAGCATAGTCTATTAGACTAGTCACAATGGGGAGTAACGTAGACTAGTAACATCACATTTTACTTGGCTATGTTACTACCTCCACAGTCAGGGGCGTAGCTATGTAGAGCTAGCTGGTGTCACCGGCACCGGGTCCAATTTGAACTTGCTTAATGTAATCCATTGATTTAGTGTGTAGATCATTGAATTATTTGACATGTAGGCATGCATTCTTCTATATGGACACCGGGTAATTTCCAATCTGGATCCACCCCTGTCCACAGTGAGTAGTAACATATGTGTGTTGTCATGTTATAGTTCATTTATTAGCCTATAGACTCATATTGTCTTGGTATGTGTGATATCACAGTAACTAGCTAAGTTACCACCATCACCTCTCTCATCATTAAATATGTGCCACATAAGCAAAATTATCTTGAAAAGTGTGATGTTACTAGTGATGTTACTTCCACTGTGGCCAGCCTTAGATGGTTAGGACCATCAAACAAACAAATAAATAGTTCCAGTGGAAAGACATCTATCCATTTATAATCCTCCTTTAATAGGATTAAGGGATCCTCCAGTTGGAAATGATAACAGAAACCGATAAGTCATTAGAAGGAATAAGAATCTTGTGCCGACCTTCTGTAATAGTCTACCTAGTGGGAATTAAACGAATTAAGCAGCTACTTAGAAAGTGAGGCAACGTTGCAACGTACCTGGGAGAAGCGGAGAGGAGTACAAGCTTGGAGAAGAGGTCGGGACGGGAGATGGAGGCGAGCACGCCGATTACGGCGGAGACAGAGTGGCCGACGTAGATGCAGGAGGCGATCCCGAGCTCCTCCAGGATGGCAAGCAGATCGAGCGCATATCCCTCGAGCGTGGCGTAGCGGGAAAAATCGAAGTAGTCTGGGTTGGTCGGCCCGGCGCCCATGGTGTCGAAGAGGACCACGCGGTAGTCGGCGACGAGGTGCGGCACCAGGTGCTTCCACACCGACTGGTCCGTACCGAAGCCGTGCGCCAGGACGATCACTCCGCGCTTCCCCTCCCCGACAACCCGCAGGTTGTGTGCCTCCTCCACGATCCCCATGGATTTGATTGACTTCGCTTTCTCGTCTCCTCTTCTTTGACGGGGTGAGAGAGAGGGGAGTGGGCGGCAGCTGAAAATGGACGAGTGGCTAAAGGCGGGCGCCGGGCTGGACCGCACTCCGCCGGTGCTCCCTCCTTCTATCTATAGGGCCTATAGCATTTTGCAAGATTAATTTTGATTAACTATTAAAGCAATAATATATAACATGCAGGTTACATAAAGCATATCGTCGAATTCACATGTGAAAAGAGCTACCAATAATATATTTTTACATTATGCATCTTATATACTCCCTCCGTTCTTAAATATATGTTTTTTTAGACATTTTAAATGGACAACAACATACAAATGTATGTAGACATATTTTAAATTGTAGATACTCCGTCACTTGTTGGAGTCTCTAAAAAACCTATATTTGAGAACTGAGAAAGTATTATTAATTTTATCAATAGTCAAAAACAATCATAAAAACGCATTAGAAAGGAGGGAGTAGAAAGAATGGGATCGACGCAGGCTAGCAGTTTGCACTAGCCGGCGTAAAAGGCGCATTAGGGAAGGACTAGACAGAGGGAATCGTGAAAATTACTCTTACTCCCTCATTGCATTAGAGCAAACCATTGCGCCGACCTAAATGAATAATGATTTTATCCGCATTTTGTCCGTTTGCATCGGTTCGGCGGACACTTATGTCCATTTTTGCATTTGGTTCGGCGCTTCCGCTCAATGCTAGCCCGACTCATTTTTGAGCTCGCGCGAAAAATATATCGCAAACATTTTGAAAATAAAAAAACATTAATTAAATATTAATGCCGGCCACAAAGACTGGCGAGAGCCCACGAGTCCACTTTAACATTAATTAAAACATTAAATAAAACTAAAAACTACGAGCAGGCATGCTGCCCTAGGCGTCCTCGTCGTCGTCGAGGCCGGTGAGGCCAATGAGCATCGGCGTCGGGCCAGCCCAGGGGAACGCCGTCGCCCAGGCTGTAGCGACGTCCTCCGCCGCTGGTTGTACCATCGCCGACTGGGCTGGCCCACTGCGGGCAAGGCGCTCCGCCTCGCGGCGCTCCTCCACGTCGTGCTCCAGCTGCTCGAGATACTCATCCTCGCGACACTCCTCCGCCAGTCGTTGCTGCCGCCATTGCTCCAGGTAGAGTTGCTCCTGCGTCGGCGTCGCCCCAAACTAGATCGGTCGCGCACTAACCCACTCGCGCACCATCCCGTCCCATGAGTAGAGCTCCGGCTTGATGGCGGTCGGCGCCAGCTCGGCCTTAACGGGGGATGGCGACCTCAACTGCAGCACGACGTGGTCGCTGGCAACGAAGAGCACCATGGCCTCCACCATGCGCGCCTGGTACGCCGCCTCCTCCTTCGCCGCCGCCTTGAGCCGCTCGTCCTCCTCGCTCTCATGGAGGGTAGCCGCCAGCGCCGCCTGGTAGGCGGCCTCCGCCTCCTGGTCCTCGTCGCACACAATGAGGGGCGGCGGCGGGAAGTTAGGCCGCACATCGCAGACGCCACGCCGGCGCTACTCCTCGTGCTCGAACGTGAACCAGACCTTCCAAAGCGGGAGAGTCTGTTGAGTAGGCGGGGTCACAGCGCTGCTTCGCCGTCAACACCTGTTGCTGGCGGCGCACCTCCTCTTCGTGCGCCCGATACGTCTCCAACGTATCTATAATTTTTTATTATTCCATACTTTTATATTATCATTTTTGGATGTTTTATAATCATTTTATATCATTTTTTGGTACTAACCTATTGACATAGTGCTCAGTGCCAGTTGCTGTTTTTTGCTTGTTTTTTACATCGCAGAAAATCAATATCAAACGGAGTCCAAATGCAGTGAAACTTTTTGTGGATATTTTATGGACCAAAAGACACCCAATGGGCCGGATAAGCACATGGGAGGTGCCCCGAGGGGGGCACAACCCATCAGGGCGCGCCCGGGCCCCCAGGCACGCCCGGGTGGGTTGTGCCCACCCCGCATCGCATCTTTGCTCTATTAATACCCCAATATTTCAGAAACCCTAGGGGAGTCGACGAAAATCAATTCCATCCGCCGCAAGTTCCAGAAACACCAGATCCAATCTAGACACCATCACGGAGGGGTTCATCATCCTCATTGGTGCCTCTCCGATGATGCGTGAGTAGTCTTTTGTAGACCTTCGGGTCCGTAGTTAGTAACTAGATGGCTTCCTCTCTCTCTCTCTCTTGATTCTCAATACATTGGTCTCTTGGAGATCTATTTGATGTAACTCTTTTTGCGATGTGTTTGTTGAGATCCGATGAACTTTGAGTTTATGATCAGATCTTTGTTTTTATCCATGAAAGTTATTTGAGTCTTTTGATCTCTTATATGCATGATTACTTATAGCCTCGTATTTCTTTTTCGAATCTTTTGTTTAGTTAGGCCAACTAGATCATTTTTTCTTACCATGGGAAGAGGTGCTTTGTGATGGGTTCGATCTTACGGTGCTTGATCCCAGTGACAGAAGGGAAAACGACATGTATGTATCGTTGCTATTAAGGATAACAAGATGTGGTCTATTTCTACATAAATAGATCTTGTCTACATCATGTCAGCATTCTTATTGCATTACTCTGTTTCTCCATGAACTTAATACACTAGATGCATGCTGGATAGCGGTCGATGTGTGGAGTAATAGTAGTAGATGCAGGCAGGAGTCGGTCTACTAATCTTGGACGTGATGCCTATATAATGATCATTGCCTAGATATCGTCATGATTATTTGAAGTTCTATCAATTGCCCAACAGTAATTTGTTTTCCCACTATTGCTATTTTTCTCGAGAGAAGCCACTAGTGAAATCTACGGCCCACTGGTCTCTTCTTTATTATATTTGCCTTTGCGGTATATTTTTATTTGCTTTTATTTTCAGATCTATTAATCCAAAAAACCGAAAATACCTTGCTGCAACTTTTATTTATTTATTTTATCTCATGTTTCCGCGAGATCTATTTATCCAATCTACTACAATTTTACCTATCTTTTTACCTATGAGGGATTGACAACCCCTCTCTTACGTTGGGTTGGAAGTATTTGTTGTTTGTGTGCAGGAGCTATTTACGTGGTGTTGTGTGGTTCTCCTACTGGTTCGATAACCTTGGTCTCATCACTGAGGGAAATACCTATCGTAGTTGTGCTGCATCATCCCTTCCTTTTTGGGGAAATACCGACGTAGTTCAAGCCGTATCAAAAGGAATTTCTAGCGTCATTGCCGGGGTGACATCATCAACATCTACCAGGTTCCTAATCACAAATCTCATCTCCTTGTAATTTACATTATTTGCCATTTGCCTCTCGTTTTCCTCTCCTCCACTTCACAAAAATTTGACGTTTTATTCGCCCTCTTTTTCGTTCGCCGTTTTCTCGTCAGATCTGTTTTTGAGTGCAATCATGTTGCGTAGTCACAATGACTCAAGAGAACACCAACTTGTGTGATTTCTCCAATACCAACAACAATGATTTTATTAGCACTCCGATTGCTCCTCCCACCACTAGTGCGGAGTCTTATGATATTAATACCGCTTTGTTGAATCTTGTTATGAAAGATCAATTTTCTGGTACTCCTAATGAGGATGTCGCGTACCATCTTAACACATTCATGGAATTATGCGGTATGCAAAAGAAAAAGATGTGGACAATGATGTTGTGAAGTTGAAATTATTTCCGATTTCTTTGCGAGATTGTGCAAAAAATTGGTTTTCTTCTTTGCCTCGCAATAGTATCGATTCTTGGAATAAGTGCAAAGATGCTTTTATTACTAAATATTTTCTGCCCGCAAAAATTATTTCCCTTAGAACCCAGATCATGAATTTCAAGCAACTTGAACATGAGCATATTGCACAATCTTGGGAAAGGATGAAATTAATGCTAAGGAATTGCCCAACTCATGGGTTAAATCCTTGGATGATCATACAAATTTTTTATGCGGGGTTGAATTTTGTTTCTCATAATCTTTTGGATTCCGCCATAGGTGGTACTTTTATGGAAATTACTTTGGGTGAAGCCACCAAATTGCTTGATAATATTATGGCAAATTATTCACAATGGCATACCGAAAGAGCTCCTACTAGTAAAAAAAGTTAATTCGGTTGAAGAATTTTCTTCTTTGAGTGAAAAAGTTGATGCTCTTATGAAATTGGTTGCTAATAAAAGTGCTCCTGTTGATTTTAGTGACATGTCTTTGTCTACTTTGATTGAGCAAAATAGTGATGCCATAGATGTGAATTTTATCTCTCGAAACAATTTCAATAACAATGCTTATAGAGGTAATTTTAATCCTAGGCCTTTTCCTAGTAATTCCTCTAATAATTATGGTAATTCCTATGGTAATCCTTCTTATAATAATAATAATAATAGTAGTAGTAGAAACACCTCTGATCTTGAGAATAATATTAAAGAATTTATCAATACTCAAAAAGTTTTCAATGCTACAATAGAAGAAAAGTTGAATAAGATTGATGATATGTCTAGAAGTATTGATAGAATTTCTCATGATGTAGAAAATCTCAAGATGAAAATTGTTGTGCTTAAGTTTGAGGAATAAATTAAAGCTCTTTATGTTTCTATGGATGAAAGTAAGAAAAGAACTGGTATGCTTAGAGCTAGAAGAGAATTTTTAGAAAAAAGTGTTTTCTAGTGATTGCTTTCATAAAAGTGATGAAGATCTAAAAATGATTGGTGTTTCCTCTATTGATTCTTTGTTTAGTAAGATTAAGATTGATAATAAAGGGACTGAAGAAGAGTCAACTTTATCTATAAGGCATCCCGATGATTCGGAGGGTGAAAATCCTGTTGAGAAAATTGATTAAAGTGGGTTTGAAGAGGTTAAAACTTTAACTAGTGATGTGCCCACTCTTTTGGATTACAAAGATTTTAATTATGATGGTTGCTCTCTAATTGATTGTATTTTTTTGGTTGCAATCCATGATAAATTCACCCCATTCTTATGAACAAAATAAAGCTTTTACTAAACATAT